GCTTCTCCTCAGACGCTGACTGTTCAACAGAGTAGAAACTGAGCATCAAAGTGCGTGGCTTTAACCCCAGCACTTGGGAGGCTGAGTGAGGCAAGCAGATCAAGAGTTTGAGACCAGCCTGGGCTATACAGTGAATTCAAAGTCAGCTTGGACTACATAATGAGACTCTGCCTCAAAAACCCCCAAAACTTCCACATCCCTTTCCTCCCATCCACAGATGGACTCACTTCCTTTCTTGTACCTCAGGGACCTCTGGGAGAATTTCCTCATTGGTCTTCCGCTGTTGCCAAGGGTGGTCAGACCCTTCGTTTCTCACCGTTCTGCAATCACCAACAGTGCTTTCAGCAGCCCAGAGCGCTACCCTGCTGGGCTGTATCTGAGACGCTTTCTTTCCCTGCCAAAGTCTCTGTGAGACGCCCAGCCTGGCACACACCTCATGTGTCTCCGTCTGCTCCTTGGCCACCGTCCCGCGCTACATGCTCAGCACTCAATAAATTCCATGGGATCCCCCGAAGTCTTGGAAAGGGATTGCTAGAGACGCTTAGCACTTTGCATCTGTAGGTAATAAAGCGGTATTAAAACTCTTCTATTATGAAGGACTTTGGGGGCTGAGCTTATGAGGGTTTGCTTTGAATGAGCAAATAATCAGGTCAAGGACATGGTACCCTCAAGTTTGTTCAGTTCTAATAATTTATTTCTCCCCTTGGCCTGCAAACTTTCTGTTTGTAGATAGCAGCAGTCTTAGGTGTAAGTTCAAGCACAAATGCTGGGTGAATCAATGTATCTATTTGTTCATTTCCTAAGAATCCAGAGCAAGAGCACCTTCCCATCCCCAGGCAACTGAGTTTAGAGGCCTGGCCTCTGGGATTGGTTTATTTCCCACAGTGGTCCTGCAGGGGCCAAAGCAGGAGGCTGTATCTGCCTGTGTGGCTCCCTCTCAGGTAGGGAAGGCATTTCTAAGAAATCCTAACAGGGTTTTCTTTCGTGGGTGGGTCATACATTGGTCGTGCAAGTGGCAGCAGACAGACCGTGGGGAAACTGCAGTGTGCCGTGGTCACACGCTGGGACCGGCTTGAAGCACACTGGCCCAGCCCCTGGGGCCAAATGCATCATCCCCCAGAAAACACACTTTGGGGCGCTGATTGCGAAAGGGGCCAGCACTGTACCTTGCCATCTAAATGTTACCATGGCAAGGATGTATACTGCGGTTTGCTTTTATGTAGGAGTTGTGAAATAATGAGAAGTACTCCAAGAAATTAGCCAAACTATTTGTCCAGGGTTTACATGGATCTCAGCTGATTGTTTTTGTTTTTGTTTTCCTTTTTGCATTTCAAAGTTTGCAAACGTTCTCAAGACAACATCTAGTTTTGTCTTGGGGAAGGAGGTGCACAGAGGACTGGAGGAGGGAGCTGGGGGTGGGAGCTGAGGAGGGAAGGGATTCCTTCCACTCTGACACCAAGAAAGGGACAGCCCCTCTTTTTGGGGGCACAGGCTGGCACCCCCTTGCCCTCGGTGTCCCTGCAGGGTGGCTGTGGAATGCCAGTGGGATCTGGCTTCTGCACCCACAGGGTCTGGAAGCAGCAGCTGGTCCCTCCTGTCTTGCCAGTACTGGGGTGGAGTAGGGCTTTCACACTGAGCCATACCCCCTGCCTTATTGTTTTAATTTTCAGGCAAGTATTACTAAATTTCCCAGCCTCAAGTTTTTTGCACCTCCGGGCTCGGCCTCCCAGAGTGCTGGGATTATTGGCACTGCCATGCTGGGCTGCAGTGAGAATCCTGATCCTGGACTTGTGGTCATGAAAAATCTCTGCCATGGAGAGCAACTCTGAGCCCAAACACAGCATCGAGGTTCTGTAGACAGCGCAAGAGCCTGTCAGGAACAGAGGTGATTAGCAGGGAAGCAAGGGTGATCTGGTGACCCCTGCGGAATCAGTCCAAGTCCTCTTAGGAGCACAGTCATGGTCCCGGCATTGAGACAGATGCACCTGCATCCAGCTATTACTGCCACCTCCACCCCGAATTAGACGTACTGTGCTTTAGACTCTCTGTTGCTCTGAGCTGTCACAGGTACCACAGTATCATCATCCCACTCAGGCATCATCAAAACCCTGCTGGTAGAGCAGAAGTCTTCCATGTTTTATGAACAAGTTAGGACATACATTTCTCATGAAGACCCCGTTCATAGAAATGCACAAACACACAGACCAAAGAAAATGTTCCTGTAACTTCATGTGACACTTTGCTTCAGTTCTATTTTACTGGGGTGTGATTGACTAAAAAACATTTATTGTAAGCCACAATGTCGACTTCAAGAATCTTTTTTTAAAAATTGAGTTTAGTGGTACATTTTAGGTATACAGTACAGTTACAGTCATTATTATGATCTTGCACCTTTACATGACAGGTCTTGGTTCTCATTTTTTCCCCTTGTCCCTGCCCTCCCTTCACCCGACTTCAAGCATCTTAATTGGACCAAATTCTTATTATTCTTAGTTCAGGGGCTTACACACAGGCCTGAAGAAACCCAGCCAATCAGAGTCAGAACTGCAATCGGACCCCTGACTTCTCTGGTGCTGAGGATTGACCATAATGCCCTATTGCCTCCCACAATGCACCTCTTTGAGGGCAGGTGGCTCAAAGCCCTGAGCACCTGGGGCCCAGCTTGCTTTTGATGGACAGCTTTCAGGTCTCAGCCACCTGCCTTGAACGCAATGGTTCTCAGTGTTGGCCACCTTGGGGGAGTCCTGACTGCTCCCCTAAGGATCAAGTTTGTATAAATCCGAGGCAGGGATGGGCAGGTTTACTTAGACTTATTTTTAAGTCTGCACAGGTGATTCCAATGTGCTGAGAATCAAAGGCTGAGAAGCTCCTAAGGGAGAAACCTCAGCAGGCTGCACTTCTTCCACTTCTGTGGGGGCTGAGAGTGCAGAATGCACTAGCTAATTAGCTGGGGCATTTATTACCAAGATTAAATAACACGTACAAGCCAAAACTCAAGGCATATTATTAAAGCAAGCATGTGTGCAAAACACAGTGTTCTTTCAATCCACTGTTGTTGTTCCCCTTCCCCCAGCTGGTGCTCGAGTATGTAATTCCACTGTCACTGGTTGTGGGGAGTGAAATGGAGCGTGCACCCCTGATTTGGTCTGGACTGTCACCCACTTTCACTCACACACCCTCAAGGGCAGAAGAACAATAGTCCCATTGAGCGTGCTTTGTAGCCAGAATCTGAATTTGCTCTCAGCGTTCCTGCTTTCTGCTTGTGTGTAATTATTTAAATGCCCCGGATCATGAGGCCTCTCTTGCAATTGGAAGGCTGCCTTACTCTCCAACTGGGGATATCAAAAGCCCAAGGAATATAGTCAGATTGAATTTCCTCCCCTGAATAGACTGAAGGATTTATGAATTCTAAGTGGTTTCTCCACATGAGCAATTTATTCGCGGAGAGAACGGCCCTTCACCAGTGATGAGACCGACCGTGCTCACTTGAGTCCATTTCCTTCTAAAGAAGCAGCATTAAGAATTCCTGGTTGGTTTATTCCCTGATATGGAGGAAAATACTCACTTCCTAGACTGCTTCAACTCCCACTCTGCATATTTAGGTCCCAAATAAGGATGAACCCCCTCTTCCTGGCTTCGGGACCTGAAAATGCCAAGCTTTTAGGGACTTCATCACGACTTCCTAGCAAATCTCTCTCTGTGTGTCCCACTGCGAAATGGGTCATTAAGCCTCTCTTCCAGTGGAAGGTCGATAGTTTCAAAGAAAATGGCGAGTGCCAGTTTTACAGCTAACCTTGAGATTCCCGGTTCTTCCTTTAGAAAAGATACATTGTAATGTTTCATCATCAACCACTGTCTCACGCTACTCCAGCAACAGTCGTGAGGGACAGGAAACCACAGGAGCTCCACTTTTGGGATGTCAAACCTGGGCTTTGGTGAGGAGAATACCTCGCGGCCGAGAGAGGAATGCAGGTCCAGGACCGCCGGGGACCCCGTCACTTCTCTCAAAACAGGGGGAGACGTCGCTGGTGCAGAAGAGGATAGATCTAGGCTATACAAATAAATTCCATGGATTTTACGCGAGTAAATCTAAGAACAAATTTATCAAGTAATACCACGCAGGTGATTCGGCAAGTACTGCCTGGGACGAGGACTCATAAAAACCAAATGAATGGGTTATAAAGAAAATACTGAGTAAATAACACAGGCAGCCTAAGATAAAAAAAATTGTAGGTTATTTGAATGACTAGAAAATAGCTTTTAAAGGGATGAAAAAGGACGAGTCCTTGATGCTATTTAACAAAAGACAAGTTGGGCTAGGGATTTAGCTCAGTGGTGCCTCTGCCTGCCTCGCAAGTGCAAGGTCCCGAGTCCGATCTCTGCTACCAAAAACAAACAAGTTAATGCACTGTTTCTAGAATCATAATCCTCAAATATAATCAGAGCCCCTAACTGTTTAGGGCAGCGGACCTCAATATTTTGGCACCAAGGACCATTTTGAGGAAGACAATGCAAGGCGAAGTTAACTGTCTCCTGGGCTTGTATCCACCTGGACTTATTCGCCTTTGGGGGAGCTCAGACACCCGATGTAGCTCCTGAAGTCGCCAGCAGGTGGCGGAGCTGGACTATATTTCGGATGGTCGGGCTCTGACGCTCCTGTGTTGGGTTTTGCGAAACAACAAAAATTGCCTCTTTCTTTTCCTTTACCCACATCCACAATCATTAGCATATGGAATAAATAGCGGTTAGGCTTGTCATTAATGCTGTAGACTATCAAAGAACAAGTTGTGCTGGTTGGTGTCCTGCTTCTAAAAGTCCGCCTCATTTGTGTCTGTGTACAGGAAGTCACCTCCAGACTTCCTGTAGTGAGCAATAAATGTCCCCAACATTTACGCTTCTGAAGGCTGAGTATTCCGCATTACTGAGAGTGTCTGTGATGAGAAATCTGTGGAGTTCTTGTCAGCAAAAGTACTAGCGTAATAACTGACACACGGGCCGGGGTCAAAGGTGAAGTTCACTGGGCTGATACCGCGGATGTGGTGGTGGTAGGTGCCTTTCACGTGGAGTAGAGGACTCGGGGGACAGGGCAGGGTGCTGTCGGGGCCTCTAGGGGATCAGGACAGGGTTGGGGGAAGAGCGTGCCCTGTGAGAGGTCCCGGAAGGCAGCAAAAGCGAGAGGGCGCTTAAACCAGAGGGTGCTGTCAAGGGCACAAGGCACGGAGATCCTAGGAGAGGTGCTAGCTGCTGTCAGGCTGAGTGACTGAGTTTTGTAAGAATTGCAGGATGTGGAAAGAGAGTCTAGGTAGCGGACGTGATTATCTTAAGAGTGTCTTTCCCCGGATCACTCGCACCTCGTAGGCCTCCCGGAGGGGTGTGTCCCACTGCAAATTATATGCATCTGGCCCTCTGGCTTGCAGAGGCCTCTTAGCTTTAGATGAAGAGGTCTTTGCATCTTATCTTTCAGAGGAGACTGAGGGACAGGGACTCCTAGAGGAATGAATGGGTTCCTACTCTCCTGTGTGGCTATCTTATGACCACTCAGAGAAGGGCTTCCCGGGAGAGCCCTCTGACCCTCAGGTCATTTTGCTACCACAGGGCAGTCGCTTCTAGAGCCAAGTCCCCGGGAAGGAGGAGTGTGTTGCTTGAATGCTTTGGCTTGCGCTCCTGCTGCAAGAGGGCCTCACTCCGAAACCCTCCCTGCCCCTATGTGAGGTGCAGGTTTCTGGGGGAGCGAAGGACAATTCCCCCAGGTGCGGCTGTTCACACTCGCAGAGCCAGCGGGGTCTTGACCCTGCCTCCTCCCCTTGTCTGTGTCAGCTTCTGCCTCCCTTCCCTGTCCCCACACACAGGCAGCCAGGTGTAAGGCGAGGTGGCTCAGCTGGGCCTCTCTCCTCCCAGCAACTCCATCTTCATCCTCCGCTCCATTCTGTAGGGTTCCGACGTGAACTGAAGCCCAGGCTATCCTTGGACTGAGCTGCACCGTGCTGCCCCACGCTTTCTGGCAGAGAAGAGCGCTGGTGTCCCAGGCTCCACCTTGGAAGGGTAACGATCTTATTACCGGACTCACTTCATTTAGTCCGCAAAGCACACCCATCAATCCACTTTGTAGCTGAGAGGTTTTTAAATAGCTCTTTACAAATTGTGGTTTGTTTTTGAAAGCGCTGCTTCCCCAGCTCCCCCTGCTGTAGTGTGAACCTCGGTCCTTCCCTTCAGCCGTCTGGGCCAGGCCGGGCTGATCGTACATACGGGTATTTCCTGGCTTTGCTCTGCAGGCTATAAACTGGAGTACTTGTTCGGCTGCCCTCCCAATTTGACCAAATCATAAATAAATACATTTTTTCCCCATTTTATTAATCTCTTGTCTTACTCTTGCTTGCAGGCAGGGGAACAAACCTGAACACCCACATCCTGGTCAAAGCCTGTCAATTTTACAGAGGGAACAGTGAGGCTTGACGGGCTGAGCCTGTCTCCTGAATGACCACGCGAATCTGCCACCCAGGAGGA